CGGAGTAGAGATCGCAAAAGATTGCTCGTGGAATGCACACATGTCCAAGGTAGCGGAAAAGGGCAAAGCACGAGCAGGGAAGCTGCACCCAATACTCGCAAACCGGCACCTTGATACACGCATCAAACTGACGGTTTTGAAGAGCGTAATCGTACCGCCGCTAGAGTACGCCGGAGAAGTATGGGAAGGAAATAAGAAGGTAGTGAAAGAACTCGAGGCGGCGCAGATGAAAGCAGCGAAAATCATCCTAGGATGCTCCAAGCGCACAAGTAATGCAGCAGTCAGGGCAGAATTGGGGATCCAATCCCTACGGTCGGGAAGAGACGTAAGGAAGCTGACATGGCAGTATCGCATGTGCGGGATGGGAGAGGAGAGGTTGCCGAGAATTGTATGGGAGGCGAAGTGGGCAAACAAAAAGAGGGGTAGACAACCCACGGAATGGGTCAAGGTTGTAGAGGACGTATGGAAGGGATTGGACATCGACGAAGATGAAACGCTGGAAACGGAGGGTCTACAGGGGTTCAAGAAGAAGATATCTGTTGCTTGTGCCGACAGAGAAGAACAGAATCTAAGGACAGAATCCAAGGATAAGGAGGGTCTAGAACTGTACGGAATGTTGAAAGAAGGAATAGGGTTCAAGGATTACCTTCATGGACCAATGGATGCAGGGACAAAGCTTAAGGTCAAATTCAGGACCGGGGACATAGGCCTTCGCGAACGTCGACGAAGACATAGGACGGTAGACGACGAAGACGACAAGTTCAAATGCGATTGCGGCTTCGAATGCGAAGACAGTGTTCATGTAGTCGCGGAATGTCCGTGGTACGAAGAGAAGAGGGAAGTGTACATGACTGAGCTGGGAAGAATACAAGGGACGTACAGGGAGATGTTTGAGGCATGGAATAGAGAGGAGAGGACGGTAGCGGTACTGGGGAGTAGAAAGTGGTTTGAAAAGGCGGGAAGTGACATCGGTAGGATAGACAAACTAGGGAAGACATTTTTGAGCCACCTTTGGCAAAGTAGGAAGGAACGATTGGCCATCGGTGATCGGTCCTGTGGGAACAATGCTCCGTCCTCTCGAGGACGCGTGGTCAATGGTCTAACCGCTAAGGCATGCAAAGCATAAGAGTACGCCCCCCCCCCCCCCCCCCGGACTCTGGGGGATAAGAAATGGGTTTAAAAAGGGGGGAATGTTTT